TTTTTTTAACAGAGGATAGATAGAGAACACTTAGAAGATCCCAAACTTACTTTATATTATATTTTGCTATTATATATTTTACGTATATATTCTATATCATATATTTTATTTTAATGTATTTTGTTATAATCTTAAATTTTTGAAGAACTAATGCTCCTCTTTCTGTGTTGCTGACTCACTGGTGGTGGATGGTTTCCTTCTACGTTTTGACAGTTTCTCACTGTAAGCGCATCCAATCAAAGCTCAGTTTTTCTATAGAAATCTATGTAGCTAGGAAACTGAAATGTCCCTAAGTCCAGAATGAGGTTCCCTATGTTGTTCTCAGGTGTCTGAGAGAGAGTACTTGCCAGTGGCCAATTTTTATACTAATTTCACATCTCTAGGTTTCCCCCATGGTGCTGTTAAAAGACTTGAACTCTATGTGGGGCATAGTCTGGGCTTTGATTTCTTTCAGACTTCTTCCCCCCACCCCTTCACCCCGCCTCCGCAGAACCACTTGAGTCAAACCCTTGCTGTGTCCTTGCACAAAGTTTACAAGATCCTCTTTCATGGGCATTACAGCCTTAAGGTTCTGGTTCACTCAGTGGGGGTCTTGGGGTTACCTCTTTACCTCAAGCAGGGCTTGTGCCTCTGATTCTATCCCAGCATGGGGTTAATCCCCACAGTCCTACTATTAAGGTTGGGAACTCATCCTTGTCTTTCTTCCTCTTGGGAACAAGATTTTCAGGCGCAATGGCTCACACCTGTAATCCCAGCACTTTGGGAGGCCGAGGCGGGTGGATCATCTGAAGTCAGGAGTTCGAGATGAGCCTAGCCAACATGGCGAAGTCCTGTCTCTACTAAAAATACAAAAGTAGAGAAGTCCCGTCTCTACTAAAAATACTCTACTAAAAACACCACTGGCCGTGGTGGTGCGCGCCTGTAATCCCAGCTACTCAGGAGGCTGAGGCAGGAGAATCAATTGAACCCATGAGGTGGAAGTTGCAGTGAGCCAAGATTGTGCCACTGCACTCCATCTAGGGCAACAAGAGTGAAACTCCATCTCAAAAACAAAACAACAACAACAAGATTCCCACAGCATGAAATGTTCTCTGCCTGAATCCATTTTGTCTGTAATGCCATTTTGTCTGGGATGTTTATATATCTTTTTAAACTGAAATTTTGTTCCAGCTTCTTTTTTATGCAATCTTGTCAGGTTTTAGTATCAGAGTTATACTCATGTTCTGTAAAATGAGTTTGAAAACATTTCCAATACAATGATGACCTGAGACAGCCTGTTATTACATGAGTCAAGAAACACCCCATGGGCTTCAGTCCCATACCCAGGCCCTGTTCTCAAACAGGAGAGCAGGCCAAAGTTCTCCTCTTGGGGCAGGGGACAGGGAGTAAGTGGAACAACACATCTTACCATGTTACATATTTCAACCCCACTTACAGGGTCATGCTGCATATTACCTTTTAGAGCATGGGGATTATTCAGTATTTTAAAGTAGGTAAAAACTTGTCTAATAAAGTTAACTGGACCTGCACATATTTCAGAGAAATTATTTAACTACTTTAACAATGTTTTAAATGGTTATTGCTTATTTAGGCTTTCTATTCAATTCTAATTTACATTTCCTAAGACAGTCATCTGTTCCAATGAGATTTCCCAGTATATCACAATTATCTATATGTTTCCCTCCAAAGCTGTTTTATATCCTTCTTGTGCTTGCAGCTAGCACTCTTATTTTATGCTTCCTGCTTTTTATGCCTCATTCACAATTCTTTTGTCTTTTTCTTTTTGAGACAGGGTCTCACTCTGTTGCCCAGGCTGGAGTGCAATCAAAATTCACTGCAGCCTCGACCTCCCAGGCTCAGGTGAGCCTCCCACCTCAACCCACCTTGTACCTGGGACTACAGGAGCACACTACCATGCCTGGCTAATTTTTGTATTTTTTGTAGAGACCAGGTTTTGCCATGTTGCCCAGGCTGGTCTTGAAGTTCTGGGCTTAAGGGATCCACCCTGCCTCAGCCTCCCAAAGTGCTGTGATTATAGGTGTGAGCCACAGCGCCCAGCCTGACTTGTCTTTTTCTACATGGACTGCATTTATTCTCCATCCTCATCTTTCGTTTGAAATTTATTCAGCTATTCAGCTTGGTTTAATTTATACTATCAGTTATGTTTCCTGTTTGACACTCAAAACTAAATAGCTCTATTTTTCAATAGCAAAATTTCAAAGCGTCTGTTGACTCTAAGTAAGATGAGGATTTTTAGCATGCTTTTACTTTCCTCAACCACTTCCAATTCCCAGGCATAATGATAGTAGATTACATAGCTTCACTCTTTAGAACTATTTGGATATTTGCTTTATAGCTATAGCTATGTGATTCCTTTGACATGCCAGTTAACTGATATTTAATTGAACATTCCTTTTATAACTTCCCTCATTTTTTTTTTTTTTTTGAGACAGTCTTGCTCAGTCGCCTGGGCTGGAGTGCAGTGGCATGATCTCGGCTCACTGCAAGCTGTGCCTCCCGGGCTCACGCCATTCTCCTGCTTCGGCCTCCCGAGTAGCTGGGACTACAGGCGCCTGCCACTACGCCCTTTTGTATTTTTAGTAGAGACAGGGTTTCACCATGTTGGCCAGGATGGTATCCATCTCCTGACCTCATGATCCATCCGTCTTGGCCTCCCAAAGTGCCGGGATTACAGGCATGAGTCACCGCGCCCGGCCCCCTCATTGTTTTTATTGTCTCTTTTTTTTTGAGATGGAGTCTTGCTCTTGTCACCCAGGCTGGGGTCAATGACACGATCTCGGCTCACTGCAACCTCCGCCTTCCAGGTTCAAGCGATTCTTCTGCCTTGGCCTCCTTAGTAGCTGGGATTACAGACACCCACCACCATGCCTGGCTAATTTTTGTATTTTTAGTACAGACAGGGTTTCACCATGTCAGCCAGGCTGGTATCAAACTCCTGACCTCAGGTGATCCGTCCGCCTCGACCTCCCAAAGTGTTGGGATTACAGGCGTGAGTCACCACATCCGGCCTTTATTGTCTAATTTTTTACCTTTATGAAAGGAATGTTTTGGCCAGCTGGAATAGACCTTGGGATACAGTGGTTTCTAGGGAAGGTGTTATTTCTTACATTCCAGGATCCAATGCCCTACGACTTGAGCATATGTACTGCTTGCATTATTTATTACATTGTTAAGGAATTGTAATCACTGGAACGCTTGAAAAAACATCATGGTGTTTGGCAGGGCCACAGCTGTGGTCACTTCACAGAACACTTTCCTAAAGAGTGCTGTGGCCTGTCCACTTCCTAGTTGGCAAAGATCCCAAGTTCTTAGGTATTGATTGATTCATAGGGAGCAAGGATAGAAATCTACCTTCTTCCTGATGCCCCTTTAAAAAAAGTCTTTTATATGCCATGCCCCTTGTACTGTGTCTGACACATGGCTGTCACTCGATGCTTATTAAATGAATGAGTACATTAATATGTCAATTCTGCCTCAAACAAATCCAACATGTATCCATGACTCAACAGTCCATCATTCCTGCTCTAGCTAAGGTCATTATAGTCCAAACTTTCCTTCCTTTAATTCTTTATCCACACTACAGATTTTTGTGGTTTCCTTAAGAGACCTGATCATAAGCCACACACTTTCTTAAAAATCACCAATGACTTTCTAATGCCAAACTCTTTAGAGAACTTTGACTTTTTTTTCTAGCTCCATCTCATTTTATAAACTGTCCACTTTAGCCTGGTCCCTGAACAGGTCCTCACGTTCACAGTTCTGGTACTTTTCCAATCCCACTTCTCCATGTACTTTTGAGTACCCTTTCTCACACATCTTGTGAAATTTCACACCCCAAACCCTCAAACGTCACTTCCTCTCTGACTTCCTGACCCCATAACAAGTACTCCCTTACTCTGTCCCCATAGTATTTTAAACGTATCCTAGAGATTTAGTACATTTAATTGCACTTCAGTTGTTTACTTCCACTTTAGACTTAAGAATTCCTTAGAGGAAATATTCATCTTTTCACACCAAACTATTATAATGCTTGGTACTTAATAGTACCAAGTACTACGTGACCTTAATAGGTGCTCAAAAAGCTTAAATTCAATTTCTAACACTAAACATACACCACTCTACACTAAATTGGAAGCAAATCACAGCCTTTCTGCTAGGAAATGTATTCTGACTTAGCAAAACAATCTCTCCCCAGAGAACGACCCCCATACACTTAATTTTGCATTCATTTCAGGGTGTTCATGAATGCCAATAACCAAATTCCACCCCCTCATCAAACAGTGTGGCTGTAAACTGAGATTCTCTTCTCAACAAATAGGACATCTGGCATGGTAGAAAGAGATCAGACTGTGGCTAGAAACATCAAGTTTTAATACCAGCTCTTACACTTAGCATGAGTTAATATTTAAGCTCCAGGGCTCAAATTCCAAATTTTTTAATGTGGTGAATACATATCAACTTTGCTAGTTTTGCTTTATTGAAAACTGATAAAGTAGCGCAATGTAGCCACAGAAGTGTATTTTTAACTACAACCTGTGTCATGCAATTGGCATGGAATATTCTGTCACCATCTCATGAAAGTGAGGTAATGCAGTTGCCACTTGCAAATGAAACATGAAAATAGTATTCATTGTTCAAATACTTACAATATGGGGGCTTTTTGTATTTAAAAATAAAATTGGAATTTTTAAAATCTTTTACATAATCCTTTTTCAATTCATTCAAATTAGTATTTTTACCTTAAGTGTCCTGGGTTTATCTTATAGTAGTAAGATTGTTGGCTTTCTTTTCACAAAGGTCTACCAATGGGTTCATGGCATTCAAATAACCATAATTCACTTTTTCATTTCTTCTGTATTATGTACTTTTTGTAAAAATACCTATCAGACTGCACCTGACATACAACAATCAAGTATGATTTTCATTAATGGTTATTAACTTTAGAATCACCATATAAAGCAATACAATGAAAAACAGACTTGAGGTTTCTCCAGATATTTAATGCAAGATGCAATGTAGCCATATTCCATGAAACGTGGTTAGCAGTAGGGAAGTTGTAGCCCTACTGAATCAAACAAAGTATTACAATACAGCTGAAAGCTTTATATAGATATATTTATGTTCTTAATTGCACTAATGCAGACAATTTGATAGATAAGCTTGTCTCTTGTGCTTTTTCTACTTTGGGAGGTTATATACTTTAGATGCCACACAAAAGAAACTCTACTGGTTTAAGAGTTATAAGTTTTACTTTTACTATAGACCTATTTTCCCCCCAGTTTAGATGGGAAGACCCAGCCTTTGGTATAAATAACTTACTTCCACGACAATATTTAAAGGGTATCTTTAGTGTTCACTGTCAGTTGTGTAGTCTTTTGGTAAGGGGGTGGCTAAAGCCTCTTTACTCTCAGTAAGTGCTCTGGGCTGATGGATAAACACACTAAATTTAACACCCTGGTTGTTTGCAGCTCTGACAAAACCACTATTAGCAGTCATTGTGATGGCTTTTAGGGTGTCTCCTGTCCCAAAAATTGTTAATGAGCGGCTATTAATTTTCGAACTGGCCACTAGTCTCAAGGCACGCTCAGAAGGTTGGTCTGATACCACATTAATTCGCTTAATTAACATAGTGGCCCTCTCTCTCTCCCCAGGTCCTCCTAAGGTATCTAAAATAGACTGAAAGTCCTTGACAGCAGATTCACAAGCAAACAACTCCTTGTCCTTCATAAAGGCCTCCAGCTGAGGTAGAACCTGCTCTTTCCTCTCTTGCTCTGCTTGTTCTGTGAGCACTTTTTCTTTGAAAATAAAGTGGCAGCCTCCATAGCTGAGGGCAGATACATATGTAATTAAAGTAGTAATGTCCAGATTTACTCTTCTGCACACATCGACCTTAATTTCTGTTGGAAACGCAACACTTGCTAGTATATTTTCTCGGTCGACTCTGGTCACCTGCAAAAGTTCAGGGCCCTCATCATCTGATTCACTCTCACTCGGTTGGAGCTCTTCAGGGTGATCTAACAGAGCGTTGACTGCTACTATGTCTCCTCTCACAGATATGCCCATTTCTTTCAGCTTCTCTGCCATGGGGCTGGAGACACTGTTGTAAAACGCAAAGATGATGTGAGGGTTGCTATACTGCACTGGCTGCTGGTGACTGGCCTGGAGGAAGTCTTCAGCCTGCTCAATGATGCTTTTGTCACCATATTGGCCCCTGCCCAGCCAGATGTTATGAAGAGCTTCAGCCTTCCGGCCAATGGCTTTCACCCAAGTATGACCACCATTTGCAACTACATCTACCACAAGGGTTTGCTTTTCTCCAAAGGTATCTGTATAACCAAAGACATGAAGAACACTAACAACTTCTTCCAGGTTTTCTGCTGATTCCACAATGGCTCTCAGGTGTGTTAGGTTAGTGCTTTGTAAATGAGATTCTTTAATAGCTACTTTCCCAGCTTCTACTTTCTGTAAGAATTTTAATTCTGCCTTCAATTTGCTGCACAGCTTTGCACCACCTTCTATGCCACCTTTTCTTGATCTAGAAAGTGATTCTGCTCTCTTGATCAGTTCCTTGGCTATGGCGATTCGTTCACAGAGCATGGAATGTGCAGACATGCTGTCAGCATTATTCCTTTCCTAGGGAAAGAAACAAGGCAAATTTGAGTAGTCTCCTAAAATTATGACAATCGATTCTTCACTGGTGATTAAAAACTTCAATCTAGCAACACAGCTTATGGAGGCTGAGTCTATGAACCTGGGCTTGTGTATGTCTCATTTTGGAGTGGCTCCTTCCTCTGATAGCTAAGGGAAGGATGGCAGCTACACTTCTGAACTCTTTGGGTATGTCTGACCTAAGACCTTCATTTCTTCAGCTTGAAAGCCATGGGGACACGGCATGGTCCTAGGTTAGGATACAATGCAAGAGTTCGGCAATCTGCTATATAAATAATTCCCTTATGTCTATCAGCGGCCTGTTTAACTGCTGATAAATTTTAATGAAAGGCTTGGACAGTCAAGACAAAAATGCTGAAAACAAAAATACACACAGACTGGCTAGTTAGCAAACTGTCCAAAGCAAGTGTCTGTCCTAAACTGAGCACCTCAGCCTCCCTAACCTTTTCCTCCTTCCTGAGTTGGTCTCCTTCAACCGGTTGCCTCATGATTTCCGCCCAAGGCTCGGGGTACTTACGCCAAAAAAAAAAAATCAACACTGCCTCATTTCTGCATTTGACGTCAACCCAGACTATTTTAAAAGATGGAAGAAGACCACCAATTTGCGCGCCACTCCCACTTCGAAAGAAAACCCGAAGATGAAACTAAACTCCGAGGCTGCACCCCGTGGCGGCCGTGCAGGCGGCCACAGCGCAGGTCGCCGGGTGGGCGGGCCAGAGGCCGGCGGGGCCTTCTCGGTGGGCTGCGGGGCCCTCGGCCCTGCCCGGCCACCTGCACAGCCGGGCCCTGCCAGGAGGGGCCGGGGCCGAAAAGCCCCCACCGCTAGCGCCGCGGCTCAGGAGCGAGGCGCTGAGAGCGCGCGGCCGACCCCCTTCCCGCCGGGTCGGCCCTGCCCAGCCCCCTCTGGCCTCAGAAGGGGCGCCCAGCTCCCAGCCTCCCCGCCTCGCTCCCCGGCTCCTCACCGGCAGCGCCAGAACCGCGAGCGCGAGCACGCAAGCGCGTGCAGGCAGAGGCCAGGACCCGCCAGGAAATCTCAACCGGGTAGCCCCCACCCCGCTCGAACGCCGAGGCGGCTCCACCCGCGCGAGCCCCGCCGCCTCGGGCGCCTCCTGCGTCACGTGGTTCCGGGCCGGGTGACGCCAAACCTGCGATTCCCAAGCGGCAGCGCGGCCTCCCGAGCCGGGTTGACGCCGGCGCGGCGGCCATGTTTGTTGAGGGCACCTGGCTTCTCCCGCTTGCGCCGCCGAGTGAGCCTGGAAGCGCGCACCCACCTGGCTCCAGGAAGGAACAGGGACCGAGCTCGCGTGCTGGGCCTCACTCCCAATGGGGGCGTCGGCCACTCCATCGCAACCGGGTCCTAGGCATTTTGGGGGCTCATTTTAACAGAAGAAACACGCTGGAGAAGCTTGTTAGAGGTGACAGCTGAGAAGTACTGCTGCTGGGGCTTCTGCCTCCAAACCAAAGTACTTTCCACTGCATTGTTCTGGGCCCTCCATAGAAGATGTGCTGTCCTTCTGAAGAGAAAAAATGATTGCATGGCTTCTGCATATTAGCATATTAGCCTAGTAGAGTGTCCAGAGTCACCCAGAAAGATTAGGGCTGTAAGAAAGTAAAGCTAATTTAAAATATTAAAGAGGACTTCCAGTTATAATTAATCCTGTGTATCCTGCTCCTTCTCCAAACCTTAAATAACGGTAAAGCAATGACAAAGGGAACAAACCCACAAAGGCAAAAAGAACGAGAAGAGATGACTGCAGACCGGTTATACCAACACATTTTTGGAGGACAAGAGCAATAACTTATTCCTTACAGCGTGGCAGACATTGTTCTAAGTGTTTTACACATCGTTCAATCCTTTAAACAACCTAAAAGGGAGATATTAAGTATATGTTACAGATAAGTGAGCCATAGAGAGGTTACCTGAACCCAAGCACCCTCTCTGCAGATGGAGGTGTCAGGAGAACTGAGGAAACTGCCTGTAGAAGGGGATATTTAGCCAGTGATTCACAAAGCAGAACCCCAGAAAGCTTCAGGTGCCTTGAAGGTAGATGGGAGGGCAGGCAGGATTGAAAATGTAAATTGTTCAGGCGGAAGACTAGTTTAAGATGCTAAAGACAGGGCATCAGAGGGATTCTAGACACACAGACTAACAAAGGACAAGAGGTGCCATCATGAAGTTTTCCTACTGAATAGAGCAATGCTAGCAGCCACCTTCTCTGCCCCTCCCATAATGCAGGCACCCCTCCACCGCTCCCCACCACTTTCTTCCCATAACCCTATTTTTCTCTGAAGAAATGAGTAGACGAAAGACCCTAGAGAACTGGCTCGGCGATACCAACATTCAGCATCCCCTGGTGTGAGCCTCACAAACACAGCATTTCCCAACATTTTTGTTTCATATTTGAAGGAAATGGAAAACGGGAAAAAATGGTCTCAAAAAGTATTCTATAACTAGCATCTTCAAATAAAAGATATCTCAGCTATGAAACAAGAGGATTTCTTTTTTTAAGAGGAGACAGCAGAGCACAGGAAATGGTTCTTCTGTAGTAAAAATGATATCCCCAATTTTAAAACATCAATATGAGTTGGAAAAATTTAGAAAGTAGAAACAGATGAAAAATGGAGCAAAAACAAAAGGATCTAGTATCCAATTAACAGGAGTTTAGAAACAAAAACAAAATGAAGAGAAAATTTTTCAAAAACCTAATACTAGAAAATTTAGCAGACAGAAACGTTTTTCACAGTGCAAGGGCCCAGAGTGCTCACCACAATGACTATTAAGAAACCCACACAAAGGAACATAGTTGTTAAGTCTCAGAACACAGCAGATAAGAGAAAAACTAAGAGCTGCAGAGGGGAAAACTTACAAAGGACTTGGCATCACATACACAATAGTATCAGGCTTCCTATCAGCAACACTGGAATTTAGAAGGGAGTAATGCTTTCAAAATGTGGAGATAATTTATGTCTAACTTAGAGTTTTAAAACCCAGCCAATTCAGAGAGAAAGCAAGGTGAATAAAGATAGTTTCAAACAAGCACCTCGCCTGGATTAGAACAGGAAGACAGGGGGTTCTAAGAGAAACTTCTCTGAGGTGTGGGGAAGAGAACTGATACAGACTGCCTGATATCTGACTGATGAGGAAAACAGTAAGCAGAAGGTGTTAAATTTCTGTTGGGGGAATCTGGCAAGAATTGGTGACAGCTACACAGAAAATAAAGTAACCAAAAAAGTGGGCTGGGCGCCGCCATGGCTCATTTGTAATCCCAACACTTTGTGAGGCCAGGACAGGCGAATCACTTGAGCACAGGAGTTCAAAACCAGCCTGGACACTGTAATGATGAGATCCCTGTCTCCACAAAAAATAAAAAAATTAGCTGGGCATGGTGGCTGACATCTGTATTCGCACCTACTGCAATGGCTGGGGTGGGAGGATCGTTTGAGCCCAAGTCAAGGCTACGGTGAACTGATTTGTGCCACCTCACTCCAGCCTGGGTGAGAGTGAGACAGTCTCAAAAATAAAAATAAAAAAATAAAAGCAGTTATCACCCCCAGGAAAGTTGTTCAGAAAATGTAATAGTAGTATACTTAGTCACAATAAAAATCTTCAACATGATTTAATTGAGGTAGGGAGAAGGAAGTCAGTGTGATATGAGGATTCTAAATTCTCATCTTGCACAATGGGAAGTTTGGCAGCTCAACTCCAAGAATCCAAGAAAAAGGCATATAATCCGACTATTTTGAAATATGGAGGCAAGTACCTGATGAAATACCTAAAAAATTCAAAAGTGATGGCTTTCAGGGAGTAGCACTCACATGTAACTTTTTAAATATGCTCATGCCTAGGAAGTTATCAGTTAATTGGCAGCCAGATATTGCTAGTTCCGTAAGTTTCTTGAGAACAGGGTAGAGGGAAGAGCTCTAAATTGAAGGAACTGTGTGAAGCAAACGTGACTTTCATACAGAACCACCAGGACTGGTTTTCAGGAAATTAGGATTCTAATCCAAGGGAACTCTCAACTCCTATATGTTCTTGGGCAATTCACTGAACATCAACTTGCTCTTCTTTGCAATGGGGGGCTCAGAGAGCTTGCCTACATGGACGAGTAGACTCCTAAAAAAAAGGTGAGGTAACTACTAAGAGTTGGCAGTTTCATTCTATGAAGAAAATTGAGGAATAGATGAAAACCCTTCAGTGTTCATTTATCACCTACTTGATGCCTGAGAGACTGTGCAAGGTAATTATATCAAAGTCGGGTTGTTTTTTTTTTTTTTTTCCCAGGGATGCTTGAGTGTATCAGCACCTGATAATTATAAGGCTCTATATTAGTCTTCTTTATTCCCCATGTATGTGAATTTTAAACATCTCCATGTTTCATTGCTAATAACTGCTTTGCAAATTTAAATTCATGGTTCGGTAGGGAACTGGGAAGAAGTAGAACAAATGGAGTTAAAATGTTTTAAGGGTTAGAAGATACAAAAAGAACCAAAAGAAGGGAGAGGCTGTGAACATTAGGAACATTATGATACTTAAGCTAAAATCCACAGGCTGGAAATGGTTCAAGAGTTTTGGAATGTTTAGGGATGCAGTGGGTTGCTACATCAAAGAACTCTTTCCTAAGAACTGGGGCAAAAAGGAACAACTTAATTTTAAGGTTCGTGGAAAGAATACACAGAACAAAGGAAGAAGTGTTATAGGCAGCTTGAACTGGAACTGGGCTTTGCATTTAATGGGGGCAGGAGGCGGAAAACAGAACCTGGATCAAATCTCGTTCCGCTGATTTCTCCTCCCTTTATTCTTTAGGACTAATTTTGCTGGCACACAACAAAAACCTACATGAGTCTTCCTTACCTCTGAAATATTATATGCCTTTAATTTTCCCTTCTTTGATTTGTAGAATTTTGACATTGCTTTGGTCTTTTGATGCTGGACATTACAGAAAGACTAAACAAATTCAACAGCAGCTAACAGAGTAATTAACTATTAACCACACCAAGCTTTAACTTGTGTTATCAAATTTAGTCCTTAGGAAACCCTGAGATATGGCCAGGCAGAGTGGCTCATGCCTGTAATCCCAGCACTTTGGGAGGCCGAGGCGGGTGAACCGCTTGAGCTGAGGAGTTGGAAACCAGTCTGGGCAACATGGTGAAACCCTGTCTCTACTAAAAATACAAAAATGAGCCGGACATGGTGGTACATGCCTGTAGTCCCAGCCACTCGGGAGGCTGAGGTAAAAGGATTGATCACCTGAGCCGGGGAGGATGAGGCTGCAGTGAGCCAAGATCATGCCATTGCACTCCCGCCTGGGTGACACACACTGTCTCAAGAAACAAACAAACCCTGAGATAATTACCTCGCATAGTCACTCAGCCAGTAGGTGGGATAGCTGAGACTTGACTTCAAAGACGCTTTTTGCTATTATGTCCGCTTTCTAGTGTGCTAAAGTGAAAATATATCAGAAGCCCATAAGAGAGATTATTAGATGAGGCCAAGATAAACATCTTGAAACAGGAAGTCAAAGTTACCATCTTTCATCTCCTATAATGCTTTTGCCACCTAAAACAAGATATGGGTATTATAGTGATGGTAGGTAACAGAACTGGGGACCCTGAGAAAAATCTCCAAAATAAGATTCTTTTGCCCTTAACTAAATCTTAGAATCTTTTGAGCTACATTTAAATCATGGAATTGCCCACTATACTTTCACATTGGTAAGAATGATTATGCTTATAAACTCTCCTTATGTTCTGTAAAGAAAATTAATGATTTTATCCTAAGATGCCTTTAAAAAAATTTAAAAAAAAAAAAAAAAAAAAACAGAACTAAGCACGGCCTTCACGAGTTCAGATACTTAATTATAACTTTCATTATAGTGAAGGTACTTATTATACTGAGATTAATGAATTAACAAGAGTCTTAAGCCACAGTTTTGACACTTATGTATTAGAATTTTATTTCAAGC